CAGGTGGCATCATTGATGGACTCGGGGGTGGCAGCGGTGGTGAGGTTGGCCCAGGATCGAACATTGTTTCGTTCTGCTGTGCATGGAGTCGCTTTGAGTCGGTTCCGACTCGATGGCACCTGACAACAACAACAACAACAACCATAGGATGTTCAGTGGATGGTTTTTCATAAGTAGATTCCACTCATGGTGACCCGTGTGTGTCAGAGGAGAACTGTGCTCCACAGGGTTCTCAGTGGATGGTTTTTAGAAGGAGATCCTCAGGCTTTCTGCATTGCCTCTGGCTAGAGTAAAATCTCCAACCTCCCCCAGGAACTCCTGGGGATGAGTCAAATGGCATGAAATCATCATCTCACTTTCCCCTGTGAGTTTGCTGGGAAGGTCTCAGCACCTTCCTCATGTGATGTGTCTAAAAGTTGAGAGGAGGAGAAACTGTTTACATGAATAGCTTTGAACACCGCATACTTGGATCGTCTCTCATTCTGATACTTTTTGTTATAGATTTAAAGTGCTTTGGAAACATGCAGTCATAAATCCTCCTTACTATGACTTTTAAAACAATATTTAAAAGAGAAAGTCTGGTTTTAAAATAGGTCTTCAAAGGAGTTTTTTTTTAAAAATCATATATAGTATCATTAAATATTTATGCTCTGCCTTATATTTTAGTGAGGCATGTTTATTATAATGACTGATATTCTCATTAAAAAGCATTCATTTGCTCTAATGAGATGTATATATTTAAAAGAACACATACGAAGCAAGGTTAGGGCATAATCTGATTTGACGGTGGTATTTATAAACCTAGAAATACATGGCTGGATACATAGCAGACACTTTTAGTCTTCTCCGAAAATTTACAACTGTGTGCTTCTCAGACTTAGTTTCTTTTCTGCTGAGTACTGATTTTATCACCAGTCCTTTGCATTTGAATTACAGCAAGAAAAACAAAGAAACCCCAAGCAAACCTGCCTTGGGTAGCTGAGTAGCCAGGCCTGTCAGTGGCCTCTGGAGACTGTGAGGTCAGTCTTGGTTCCTTCTGAATTTGTAGGTCTCTCAGCCTCTTTCCCACAGGAGTCCTGGTGGTACAGCGGTGGAGTGCTCAGCTGCTGACTGAACAGTCGGGAGTGTAAACCCACCCAGCTGCTCTGTGGGAGAAAGATGTGGCAGTCAGCTTCCATAAAGATGACAGCTTTGGAAACCCCCTGGGGCAGTTCTTCTGCCCTGCAGCGTCTCTAAGTCAGAATTGATTTGTTGACAGTGGATACTAGCCTAAAGATTTGAATGCCCCCAGTGGGCTCCATTCCCACTGTAAGATTATAGTCCAGGACCCCTGAGGAGGGGCTGCAGTTTGACTGTAACACACAGGGGTGCCTGCCGAGTCAGAGTCTACTTCAGCAGCAAGTTTGCTTTGACCAGCTGTTCCCAAGAGAAACGAAGATGGACTGTGCACCCAAATCTAGATCAGGTCCTAGAATAGCCCCTTCCCTCCATCACTTTTCAAGCTGGGAGTTGCTACAGACTGTGACCTGACTGAGCCAGTCAGGTGGAGACGGAGCCTACCTGGGCTCTCACCAAGGACAGTGTGGTAGCTGGAGACAGTGAACCGTGCCTTTACTTCACTTTAACCCAGCTTGATGGTGCCAGAGAAAGGACACAGCAAAGTCTCATCTTCTGCATGGCTACCCTGGACCACAAAGCGGCACTCCCAATGGTGGCCCACCACATGCGAAATCAAAGGTCTAAACAGGAGCCTCACAGGACGGATTTGCAGGGCGGAGGGTATTTCTTTGTTTGGGCACTGGAGTGTAGATGGGGAAGTAGATTTGGAGTTTTGTAAGGAAGCACCGTAAGAAGCCCTAGTAGCACTGTGCGTTAGACGTTGGGCTGGTAACTGCAGCGTCAGCTGTTCAAACCCACCAGTCACTCTCCAGGAGAAAGGTGAGGTGGTCTGCTCTGTAAAGATTTACAGTCTTGGAACCCTGCACAGCTGCTCTATGAGTCAGAGTGCACTTGCTGGCTGTGGGTTGGGTTTGGTTTTTGTGCAAGAGGAGGCTTGCAGCTTTTTCAGTGATTTAAAAGCTACCCATGCAGCAAGTGAAAATGACTGTGATGCTACACAGCGAGGGCAACAGGCCTGGCCCACTTAGAGGTGGTAGCCGACTGTGGATGTGTGCCGCTCTTCACAGGCCTGCCCGTTAGCCACTTACATGCGTCTGCCTCCTTATACCTCTCTCAGGGCTTCGGCCGTCACTTTTCCCTTTCCGGTTTCTGTGACGAATCATCCAGATTGGAAACACTTGGGTCTGTTTCCGCTCTGTCAGCTGTGACAGAACCAGTTGGCAGCCGTGTTTAAAGGGCAAGTACAGGAGTGCTTTAAGTCGATGTTTGTAACCCAGGAACTGAATGTTTAATTCTGTTGTATGTAGTAGAAAATGGCTTATGCAGACGCTCCTAAGTGGTGCTGAAGATATCCTTTGCCAAGTTCAGAAACACTGGCTGGGTTCTTTCTGAATGTATCAGAAGATGCTCAGTTTTAAAGACCTTTGCTAGGCTGTCTCTGAGGTAGCTCTGATTTGAGACATTTTATGAAATCACTCTTCATTTTCCTACCTATAAAATGATGCTCTTGCATGTACCTTGGACATGTACCATGATTTCACTGTGACATTTGGCTGTATGTTTTGATGGGAAATTTCAGTTCACGTTGTGTTTGTTGTTAGTTGCTGTCGAGGCACTTCCAACATAGCGCCCTTGTGCCCGGTTCTGCACCATCCTCACAATGGTTGGTACTCATTGCTTCTGCCACTGTGCCAAACCATCTCATTGGGGGTCTTTATCTTTTTCTCTGACCCTCCACTTTACCAAGCATGGTGTCCTTTGCCAGGGACTGGTCCTTCCTGACAACATGTCTGAAGTATGAGAGATGAAGTCTGGCCATCCTCACTTCTAAGAAGCACTCTGGCTATACTTCTTCCAGTACAGCGCTCTTTGCTCTTCTGGCGGTCCATGGTACTGTCAATATTCTCCAACATCGTAACTCAAATGCATCAATTCTTATACAGCCTTCTTATTCACTGTACAACTTTCATATACATATGTTGTTGTTGTTATGTGCCATGGAGTTGGTTCTGACTCATAGCAACCCTGTACACGGTTTCTGAGGCTATAAATCTTTTATGAGGTTACTGAAAATACCTTGGCTTGGGTCGAGAGTGCCTTAGTCCTCAAACTGACATCTTCGCTCTTCAGGACTTTTAAAGAGGTCTTGTTCAGCGGGTTTACCTAATGCTCTATGTTGGTGTGGTGCTGTGGGTTAATGCGCTGGACTGCAAAGTCAGCTTGAACCACAAGGTTGGCAGTTCAAGCTCATCAGCCACTCCTAGGAAACCCTATATGGGGTCGCTGTGGGTTGGAACTGACTCGATAGCACTTCACAACAACAACATATGTCAGTAGTTCTCTTGATGGCTGCTTACGTGAGTGTTGACTGTAGGTCAAACAAAATAATGTCATTGAGGAGTTTCTTCATTTCTCCATTTATCAAGTTGTTATTTACTGGTCCAGTTGTGAGGAATTTTGTTTTCACATTAACAGCTGATGTTGTTGTTGTCAGGTGCCATCGAGTCGGAACCGACTCATAGCGACCCAGTGCACAGCAGAACGAAACAATGTCCGATCCTGGGCCAACCTCACTACCGCCGCCACACTTGAT